ATTACACTAGATTATATGCCATTAAACCCTTGTGTCCTCACGTCAGCGTTTGTCCTGCTGGGCTGGCATAAAATGCTTGCTTACTCCCAATTACTTTTTATTTGTACAACACAAAATAATCATGACAGAGCAATTTGAGGTCTGTTTGAGATAATATAAATTTGTGTGCTGTAAAGTAACACTAAGTGTGTGGAAGCAGGCAAAAATGCTTAGTGTACGCTTAGTGTACACCTGACCACTTGCCTGTCCTTCTCACGTGGTGACTTCCTTTGAGTTCATGCTTTCATCACTGTGAATTCAGTGGATTTGCATATGGCAGCATTAATGCTTCCAGACACTGTTTCATCCTATCAGGGCTACTCAAGAGTGTACTGAGAGTGATGAGGTATAGAGAAACCTCATTCAATTATTAAAGGACTAACCAGGCAAACGTTATCTTTTTTTTTTGCTTTTAGTTCATAGGTAAAGTTTACAACATCGGTCAGTTATCTTGTTTGTGTTAACACTGAATGATAAATTCTCCAGCAGGAAAGATCATAATAAAAAAACTCCTGTTTTCTGTTTTAACTCTTCCCAATTCTTATCAAAACCTTTTAAAGGCAGGACAATGTTTGCTGGAATTGCACTTTTATCTCAGTTTCCTGTCATTCCTGCAGCAAGAATTTAGAGAACCCCACACAGGTCACTTGGAGTGTGTTTCTCGAGTCTGTGTTGGATAACTTTCTCTCCTTCTGCTTCTTGTACCACTACTCACATTCACACTTACAAGGCGACTGTGAGAAACATACTTCTGACAATAATCATCTGAATCTTGACCATCACTGCAGATGACTTAACTAAAACTACAACAGCACCACTAAAAGACATCAAAACAGAATAAAATATGTAAATAAATCTTTATTATTCTAATGTCCGATATACATGAATTTCACATCCACGTCATTCTCAGAACACAATTTTGTAAATTGTTGGTACATTGATAACATAGAAAGTAGATCTTTCAAAAATAATATAAAAATAACTACTGACCTATCTACTGAGCAATCTCTCCAAATAAACTGACAGGATAGAGTTATTTTCAGCCAATTCCAGATTCCTCTTCACTTTGAGTTTTAGTGTCCCCTTTCAAACTTTTATAAAATTTGACCTTCTCAAATAAAATTAAAAAAATCAATAATAATAATAGCACATTAGGAATGCAGATGACAAAATAGATTATTTTGCTAAACAAATTGTAAACATTTGCTGTATTTGAAAAAGGAACTGAATAATATGCACTTTTGTTCATTGTGCATTTTTTAGTAATTGATATGTGAGGAGGCAGATGAGAGAAACGTTGCATATGACATTTGCTTTATATTTTCAAGAAAAAAACCATAATGTATTTGTTCCTATAATGGGATCTTTATCCTACATACAGATGTATGGGTAAAGCAGGAAGGTTGAATGATATTTGAAATGTGGCCAGGTACAGTAGAGCGAAAACATATGGAAATGTCATGTCCGCGAAAAGGACCCTTTTTAAGGTTTTTTTTTTTAAACAAAAAAAAGTATTTTCATTAGATCTAGTTGCCATAGGCTACAACATTTTTTGTTGTAATGGAAAAAATATTCCAGAGTATAATGAAGAGTCAAAGTGCTTAGCAGGTGTTAATATTGCAGCGAGAGAAGTCCTTGCATTTTAAGATGCAAAGTTAAAAGTCCCAGTATTCAAGAGAGCCATTTTTACAACTGAACTGTGAGATATTCACAACTTTTCATTAACCTTTTTATATCAACATAATCTATACAGTATTGCAAAAGAAAAAAAATTCTCAGTATTTGTCTGACATCCGTCACCAATCCTGAACAAGCAGCATCAGTAGAAAATTCTCTGTACACTTCAATGCAAATACTGCAGCAGATTTCAACATCAATATTTTTCTTTTATGCAAAAGAAAACCTAAAAGTGTCCATGTCTTTAGATATGTTTGCCCTGTCCATTTAACACCATTTAACATAAAAAAACAAAACTCTATCTACTGTTCGAATGAAGCTCGACAATTAATATTCCCTTTATTTTACACTGTAATATACCACATTAATGCAGAAAAAATATATATATATATACGGGTACTTTATATATAAAGTGATAAATTGATATTTACCAGACATACTCTGTATAGACATAATGTATTTTAGGAGGACTTCAATATTTTTATAAAAAAAGATCACAAGTTACAGATACTGCAACATAAAATAATATAGTTTTCACGGAATTGAGCTGCCATATTTTCAGTAATTTAAATGTATAGTCTGCACAGTGGCAAAATATCTTTTCAGTTTATATTAATAGAGACATTGGTGGTGATTATAAATGGTGTTTCCTGTCTGCAGCCGGAACCCACCATCATATACATATTAGTTTACTGTGAGTTGAGTAGTTTTATTTCCATGAGGATACCTCTGGAGCTGGAAGCTTTACAACTGGTCTTTACAATTTCTAAGAGTTCTAAGACTGTTCTAAGAGTTATTTAGGAAGAGCGTTGTACACTGATAGACTATCCGCACCAAAAAAAAAAAGAAAAAGTTGCAAACTTTAGTTGAATATACTTTACGTACAACCAATTCTTCATTTTTTTTAAAAATAATATATTGTGTCTACCCCTGAAAGTTGAATTTGGTAGGTTTCCATTGCTGGTATTGGTTAGTGGAATTTCCTAGCATTGTGGACCCAGTATGGCTGATGGTGTAGCCATCAGCCATAAAATAATGAGCTAAAAGGGTCTCTGCAGAGTATGACAAATGCCTCCTTCCTGCAAATCCAAACAAGCGGCTAATTCTTCTTTTCCGAAGGAAGCTTTGGAGACAATTGTTACCTCTCACAACTGATGTTACCATGCAGTGCTCGAGGTGGCACTAGTTCTAGACAAATGAATAGCTAAGTATTTTCACACACAGTCTGTCTCTAGTGCCGAATATGGGAGCTCAGCAATGGCCACCTCCAAAGCTGGATGAAAATCTTGGCTGTCCTAAAAGGTTCCCCTAAATTAAACCAATTATGAGAGAAATAAGTTGGCTGTTATTGCTGAATTTCCTCGGAAAATGGTAGGTTCTCAACATTTATGTTATCTAGTATCTTCATTATTGACCTGGACAAGTGTACTGAGAATACAATTTGTGTCAATTTTAAATTCTGGCATAGTAGTTCTGGGTCAGAGGATCAGCCTGGCTGTTAGAAGAAGGCCAATAGCACCTTCTGTATTTCTCTCAGGCTTTCCTTAGGGATTTTTGCAAAGGATTTGCATGTCTCCAACCCAATTCTACATTTGTTTGCAGGTAAAGCTAGAAATGAACCTTTTTAAGTTTCTATAAAATGTTTTGAATTTATGGAGAAATGGCACTGTTTGGAGGGTCTAACTTTCAGAGTCATCGTACTGACATCTTGGAGTTGAGAGATTTTGTGGGATGGCTGTAGTAATTACACCGTGTGTGGTGTCCTTCTGCAGGAGATTTAAAATCCACTTTATATGACTGAGAAGGAAAAGATTGCTGCATTATATGACTGTGTGTGCAAATGTGCTGTGAAATAGAGTACATTCACCGTCATGGAAGATGAAAACTAATATTTAATGCCACTAAAATTAAACTACCTACCCTGATGAGCATTTATTAAAGAGAAAACCTCTCCTTTTTTTTCTACACTCTCTTGTTAATATTTTTCTGTTCACATATAAAATATGATGATCTAATTGCTAACTTTTAAACAAGCTTGACCGTTCGTTAATTTCCAGAAACATTTGACCAGTTAGTTGGTCTGCAAAATGGAACATATGGCAAGTTAGGAAATAAATAAAACTGATATAAAAAATGAATATACTTTGATAACAAATATAAAACATTGTTTCACTGTAAGCATTTGAAGCACCAGTAAGATGTAGTGCTGGTGACTTTTATGTTAATATCTCTGCATGTCTATCTATACTAGTGCTAGCAGTATCAAGTAATAATTTATGTGAGCTACAATGAGCATGTTTTCCTTAATATATTATGCATTGATCAATGTTTAGGTTATCTTAAACCTAGAGAAACTCTCAATTTATTTAGTCTTGGTGTGCAGCAATCACAAACTACGTTTACCACATTAAACCGCACCACATAAGATTCTGGCGTGTGCCAAACCTACACAGAAATGTACACACAAGGACAGTACATGTGATTCCTTTTCTATTATATCTCTTGAATTACATTTATGGCAAATATGTGGAAGGAATCACTGTTTCAGGTGGGATTTAGCATTTGGTCATATTTTAATCAATACGATTATTTTGCAGCAATGAAGTAGAAACATAACACACTCCATGCTACCTTGTGCCACATTCTATTTATCAATTTTCTCTAGTCTGAGATATAAAGGAAATATCTGTCCGAGATATATATAACAAGTATCGTTATCTGTAACAGAAATAAAACCATATTTATTTCAACCGTGGCATAGACGAGTATAATGTTCAGTGGGTGCGTGTCACTGACCCTCAGTTATGACTTCTATTGCATAAAAAAATGTCAAAATCAACCAGATAATGTCTTAACATCAGACAATAAATATTAAATGCAAACAGGAGAAACAATCTCGCTATTTTCCTGTTTTGGTTCAGTTGATATATTTTAGGATACTTATTTGAGCATTTTTACTATTGCATATTTTACAAGATACAGATTTATGTCATGTCATGAATAGAGTTGGATCTTTAGTTACATTTTAACTTTGATCACAAACGTCACAATATAAATTATCTTTTTTTTTCCACGTTTTAAAAATAAAAAATATTGATACTTCCAGTCTTCCTTTTTGATTTTCTGCAGTTTTAAAGCTATCTACAACAGTATACATTCTTTTATTTTTCCATGAATGGAAAGTAGAGGTAAAAGACCGCAGTTTTTGTCCTTTATTAGATGATAATAATATTACACTGTACAAAAAAGGTCTTTGGAGATTAACCCCCCAGAAAGCAGCATTTTTCTGTTTTTGCTTTTGTGGTCCCGGAACTCCAAATCTCAGGGTTTTGGCTCCTTGGAGTTGAGTGGCCACAGATTGAATTGGTTTTATATTGTCCTAGTTCAGTCAGTAAAAATAGAATTACTACATACAATTGTCCATAAAAGCCACAAAGTTTTCTGGCTGGTCAGTCCCATTCCTGGGTGAGATCCGGACTGTGCGAAGGCTGTTTAAAAATTGGGATGAAGCACACAGTGCTAGTGAGCAGCATGGTAGGTGTCATTATTACTATTTTTTAAAACAGAAATGTACTGACTAGCAGGCTGCTGTCAGTGGGATGAATCTGCATTCTTCAACACAGATATAAAATCCCTCTGCATGGGGACTTGCCAGACAAGGGGAAAATCCGTAGGCAAATCATGGAGCTGGTTCTCTGTATTTTAAGATCACTTACATTCTTCCGAGCCTTTAATTTTCCAAGCAGAGAGTTTCCCCAAATATTAAGTGGACAGTATTCCAGATTAATGATGATTTTTTTTCTAAGGCATACTGTGAAAAAAAAGAAATATGATTTACCCACCATCGCCTTCTCCTGTATTGTTTTCTATAGTGAATATTTTTTTTTTTTTTTTTATAGACTTTCTATGGCTGACATATGTTTTCATAACCTATATGCTCCAAATTACTGTGCTAGCATTTCTTAAAGAGAAAAAATTGATCTTTTTTGTGCGTTGAGTATGTGAGGAAGCTTTACATCCAAATGCTATGAAAGTAAATTCACACAAACTTTTTTTAAGGGTGACGATGATAAAAACAATTAAACATGTAGATGGATTCCAGAATGTTCCAACAGAACCTCCATGATCAGTGATGAAGTCAGAAATTCCATAGCTACAAACTTTACAAAAACGAATTATACGTTCAAAGAAAATTTAAACCTAAAGGCAATATGGAAAAATTGTTTTGCCAAAATCACTTTTCACAATGATATAATCCAGCAAGTGACACTTTAGCATAAATGCTGAACAAGAATAAGCTATGCCAAATGTGATTAAGAAAAAAAAAAATAACCAGGTACTGTAATATTTAAAATGTGCTTATTGGTGATTATAGTCCACTTCCAGACTTCAGTGTGTCCAATAAAGTAGATGTATTTTTGTTTTCTGTCAGTGAAACAAATATCTTAGCTGCTTCTATATTTAACATTAATACTGCTTATGGAAAGAA